TACACATAAACATAGTGTTACCCATATTTTGTGTATACCCAAGCAGAGTGTTATCCATATTCGGTGTACACACAAATATAGTGTTACCCATATTCTGTGTACACCCAAATATAGTCTTACCCATATTCTGTACACATCCAAACATAGTGTTACTCGTATTCGGTGTACACACAAACATAGTGTTACTCATATTCGATGTACACCCAAACATAGTGTTACTCATATTCGGTGTACACCCAAACACAGTGTTACCCATATTCTGTGTACACTCAAACATAGTGTCGCCCATATTTTGTATACATCCAAACATAGTGTTACCCATATTCTGTATACACCCAAATATAGTGTCACCCACATTCTGTATACACCCAAACATAGTGTTACCCATATTCTGTGTACACTCAAACATAGTGTTATTCACATTCTGTATACACCCAAACATAGTGTTACCCATATTCAGTGTACACACAAACATAGTGCCACCCATATTCTGTATACACCCAAACATAGTGTTACCCATATTCTGTGCACACCCACACATAGTGTTACCCATATTATGTATACACCCAAACATAGTGCTACCCATATTCTGTATACACCCAAATATAGTGTCACCCATATTCGGTGTACACCCAAACATAGTGTTACCCATATTCGGTGTACACCCAAACATAGTGTTACTCATATTCGGTGTACATCCAAACATAGTGTTACTCATATTCTGTGTACTCAAACATAGTGTCGCCCATATTTTGTATACATCCAAACATAGTGTTACCCATATTCTGTGTAAAATATAGTCTTACCCATATTCTGTATACACCCAAACATAGTGTTACTCGTATTCGGTGTACACCCAAACATAGTGTCACCCATATTCGGTGTACACCCAAACATAGTGTTACCTCATATTCAGTGTACACCCAAACATAGTGTTACCCATATTCGGTGTACACCCAAACATAGTGTTACTCATATTCGGTGTACATCCAAACATAGTGTTTACTCATATTCTGTGTACTCAAACATAGTGTCGCCCATATTTTGTATATATCCAAACATAGTGTTACCCATATTCTGTATACACCCAAATATAATGTTACTCGTATTCGGTGTACACCCAAACATAGTGTTACCCATATTCAGTGTACAACCAAACATAGTGTTATTCATATTCGGTGTACATCCAAACATAGTGTTACCCATATTCTGTGTAAAATATAGTCTTACCCATATTCTGTATACACCCAAACATAGTGTTACTCGTATTCGGTGTACACCCAAACATAGTGTTACCCATATTCGGTGTACACCCAAACATAGTGTTATTCATATTCGGTGTACATCCAAACATAGTGTTACCCATATTCTGTGTACACTCAAACATAGTGTCGCCCATATTTTGTATACATCCAAACATAGTGTTACCCATATTCTGTGCACACCCACACATAGTGTTACCCATATTCTGTATACACCCAAACATAGTGTTACCCATATTCTGTGTACACCCACACATAGTGTTACCCATATTCCGTATACACCCAAACATAGTGTTACCCATATTCTGTATACACCCAAACATAGTGTTACCCATATTCGGTGTACACCCAAACATAGTGTTACTCGTATTCGGTGTACACCCAAACATAGTGTCACCCATATTCGGTGTACACCCAAACATAGTGTTACCTCATATTCAGTGTACACCCAAACATACTGTTACCCATATTCAATGTACACCCAAACATAGTGTTACCCATATTCGGTGTACACCCAAACATAGTGTTACTCATATTCGGTGTACATCCAAACATAGTGTTTACT